GGGGGGGGGGGGTGTGTGTGTGGTGGTGGTGGGTGAAGGGATTGTAAAAGTTTGCTCTTGAATAAGTCCACAAATCCAAAAATATAGAGAGAGTTTGGTAGTGCACACAGATAGAGAAGTTTTGATTTGTGGGGGAATTCAAAACTAGTAACCATAAATAAGAGTCAATTAAATTCAGCAGGGAATTCAGGAGAAAGCTCTTTATCCACAGTGGTGAAAATGTGAAAACTGGAGTGGTAGACAGTGCAGGTATGATTAAGGAGAAGATAGATAAGAACATGAAAGAACAGAAGAATATGATAGCATGAGATGAGGAAAGGTGAAAGGAGGCTCATGTGGAGCATAAAAGCCTGGCGCAGGTTTTTCACGGGTCAGATGCTAGTGTTGTAGCTGCACTAGAACAGCTTGGCTAGTTCAAGAGCACAGGTCTTCAAAATTATTGCTAGAATGCCATCAGGACATTGCAGTATTCAGTGCTGTCAGGTATTTCTTGATATCACATGGAGTGAATTGAATGAGTTGAAGACACTGGGGAATCTTTGATGCTAGGAAATCTCAGGAGGCAGTGATGGATTGTGCACTCAGCGCTTCTTGCTGAAGACGGACACAACTACTTTAACTCATGCTTTACATTGATGTAGTAGGTACACCATTGTTGGGGGTGGGCATAATTGTATAGCTGCCTCCTTGACCTGTTAGGTGATTGACTGCTCACCACCATTTCTGGGTCGACGTGACGGAACTGCAGAAATTAGATCTGATCAGTTGGTTGTAGGATCATTATGCCCTGTCTATGCATACTGCATCCACAGTTTGGCATGCAAACAGTCCTGTGTAGCTTCTGTTGGTTGACACCTCATTTTCAGCTGTTGCTGCTCCTGGGTAATGGCTTCCTGCACTCTCAACTGAACGAGGATTCATGCCCCATCTTGAAAGCAATGGTAGAATTGGGGCAAACGCCAGGCCATGAAGTACCCTACCTAGATTACATATTGCACCCTTTCCACCTTTGTTGACTTTGCAGGATCAAAGGGTTGAATCTGTCGTTGTCTCGGTCAATTTCAGATGGTCCATCCAGTTTTATTCATAGAGTTAGAGAGTACAGAAGAGGGTCTTCGGCCCAGTGAGTCTGTACTGCCAAAAAATACACAATTACCTACCTACCCCTCTCCACCTCTTAGTCTTAGGCACAACATAGTGGGCCGAAGGGCCTGTACTGTGCTGTACTGTTCTATGTTCTTCACAAAGGCTTACTAGGGTCATCTTAGAGAACATTTAAAGAACATTTGAGAGTCAATCACATTGATGTGGTCCTGGAGTCATACGTAGGACAGGCCAGGTAAGTACAGCTAATTTCCTTCCCTAAACGTCATTAGTGAACCAGTTGGATTTATACAACAGATGCCAATGGTTTTGCAGTCAATAAACATTGATAAATTGAAATTTTCTGAATTTAACATGAATTTAAATTTCACCATCTGCTATGGAAGGATTTGAACCTATGACCCGAGAACATTAACATCAGCTTCTGGATTTCTAATACAGTGTCACTATCACCATACCACCACCTCCCAGTGCTGTATATACCTTGAAATTAGTCAAACCTAAGAAAATGGTTAATAGCTACAGTAATGTCAGACATCATGGAATGCAGGGATACTGGTAATTTCACAGGATGTGAACGAACAAGAATGGTATTCAAGTAAAATGAAATCAGAGGACAAAGGGTAACTAGATAGGTGAGCTGTGCCATAATGCCATGCTGATTTCAAGTCATATGTTCTGACCTTGTTGTCTGCCCATTAGAACTACCCATATTCACACTTATAATGGAAACTGACCACCTAAGATGCTGTATGGTAGTTCTATCACCGAAATATTGGAAGTGCTTCATAAGGAGACAAAAAAAAAAATCCAAGGAGGAGAGGAATCATCTCAACAACCTGCTTTATTCTCGTGACAGCCAGTTGGTTCAGGAAGTGAAGACCAGGAGTCAATCTCCACTCAGTTTGAGAGTAGAGAGACATGCATGATTGACTCTTAAATGTCTTTTGAAATGGCCCTATAAACCATATATGGACCCTTTCTGGAGAAGGGTCCAGACCCGAAACATCAGCTTTCCTGCTCCGCTGATGCTGCTTGGCCTGCTGTGTTTATCCAGCTCTACACCTTGTTAACCAGATAAATACAAGTTGGTGTTGGTGATTTCAAAAATGTTTTGTACAAGGGGAGCAAAAGCAATCTTAAGGGTAAGAACATCATTGCGAGTGCCCACTTGCCTCACAGCATCTAGGACAATAATTCTTGAGGAAAGTAACTGTAATAGGAGGCACATGAAACAAGGACATTGATTCGGTAACTCACCGTCAAAGGTTCCACTTTCCAAAAGGGCTCCACTCTCCTCGAGTGTTTTAAATTCCTCCAGAGAAATGAAGTTATAATCAACCCCTGGCACTTCACCTTCACGGGGTGGCCTTGTAGTGCCTGAAACAAAACAACCAAAAAAAAATTGAAGCAATGAAAGCGCTCAGCTTTGCCTATGTTGCCATTCAGTACGCCAGAGCAGAAAAATAATTTGATGAGAAAGTGTAGGGTCTGGATGATCTCTAAAGTGAAAGGAAAGAACAGAGGATCAATAAGAACAGAGGGTAGATGGTCATTTAAAATTAAATTTGACCAATGCTTGAAAAAGAACACCAAGAAACAGACTTGTATTTATACAGAACCAACCATTCATGGTTTGAGCTAATTAAACCCTTTTGACATGCAGTCACTGTTACAGCTTGGGAAGCTGTGGCAACCAATTTCCCCACATCAAGCTCCTTCAACACAAAGGTGATAAAGACTATTTATAGGTCTTGGTTGAAAAATTAATATTGCTTCAGACACTGGCAAGATGCCCTGACAGGAAAGCAGACCTGGATTCAGTTTAACAACTCATCTGGAATATTATATTAACCAGGTTTGAAGAGACAAGTGGCCTCCCCCTGCTCCTATTTCTTATATTTTAACCACAAGGCTGAGTATCAAGCTGAAATTTTTACTCAAAGTGAGTATGCTAGCAACAGAGCATTGATTGAGATGGGACATGGTGAATCAAAGAAATGATTGAAGTGGAGAGTTCAGAGAATCCAGCACTGATTCAGTCCAAAAGAACTTTGATATCCTGAGCTGTAAAATATACCATATATTTGTGCAAAGGTCTAGAGTTTCAGACCAATTATTTAGGGAAAATAAGACATTGATTTATACAGGATAGATGTAGAAGAAATGAAGTGAACAATTATCCGTTACCACAAAGTTGGAGTTGAGGGGAAGGATCAGCACCTTGCCAACTCCCCCAATGCCCTCTAGAAGCTCCCATCCTCTAGAATCAAAGAGCCCAAGAGACTCAATAGTTTAATAACAGGACTTATTTCCTCAAGATCTCACAGCAACAGTGAATGTTGCAAAATTTCCGTAACATTTTACTGATAGATTTTTTTCAAGTTCCAGTGATCTTGATATTATTACACATCTAAGGCTTTCTTTTCATTTTATTTACTAATTCAGAGATGTAATAAATATTGCATTTTATGATAAATAATTCTAAAGCTTCCAAAAACTCAGCGCTCTCAGGTGAAAAACAAGACAGCTGGGATTATGTCAGGAGCAGTGTTTTCTTTTAAATTCACTGATGGGTTGCAAGTGTTTCTGGTTTGGCCAGTATTTATCGACCATCCCTAACCGGCCCAAAAGGTGGTGACTGCAAGCCAGATTCTTGAACATTTGCAATCCATGTGGCACTGCTGTCTCCACGGTGGCATTAGGAATGGAGTTCTGGTATTTTGACCTGGCAACAGTCAAGGAATAATGATATAATTCCAAGTCGGTTGTCAGGCATTTAAATAAAACAACACAATTGTCTTTCTGTTCCCTGATAACAACTTTATTGGATCAAAAAGGCTTCAAAATTCTTAAGTTTTTGACTCTCGTGTTGTACACCAAGGACATGAATTGGTTCTTTCCCTGGCTTTCAAAAACTATGGTTGTGGTCTAAACTATGGTCAAAAAACTATTAATACGAGAGATTAAAAAAATTAAGGATTTTATTGGCCAAAAATGTGTTAACCTTTACACATGATTAACTGTTATTGGCAGATGTAAATTAAGGGCTTTCTTATATTCTTGAAGAGATAACTGCCAGTGAGGCGGATTTCACAGGCTAAGATCCTTGAACAGCTCAGTATAACACAACCCCTTCTTTGGGGACTTGCACAGTAAATATATTGGGCCAGTTGACTCGAGGAAACCTCCAATACTTCAGTGTCCTGAAATACCCTTCAGATGTACATTCTCCGTCAGGGTTACTAGGCAATGTGCCCTCCCCACCAAACCCTTTGGGCACCAAAGCCAACAGGAGCATTCCACAGTGCCCTCAAATCAGCTAACCATCCTGTGTAATAATAAAAGCAAAACATTGCAGATGTTAGAAATCTGAAATAAAAACAAAATGCTGGAAAGACTAGCAGGTCTGGCAGCATCTGTGAAGACAGAAATAGAATTAGCATTTCAAGTCCAACAACTCTTTGGAACCATCCTGGTTTCTCAGACTCTCGACCACATCAGTTCAATTAGTCACAAAGCTATAACAGAATTTATAGCAGAGAAACAGGCCATTCAGTCCAATTGGACCATGCTAGTGCTCATCTTTCAGCCAAATCCACCAGCATAATCTTCTATTACTTTCTCTTTCATGTTTATCTAGCCTCCTCTTAAAAGCCACTGTACTATTCACAACTACTCCTGGTGTGGCGTGCTCCACATTCTTACTATTCTGGATTTATCTTATAGTTACAGCCAACAGTTTTGGATTTAAAACCAGAATCATTTGTTGGAAAGCCAATCTTTGATTTTACAGCCAAAATTATTAGAACACAGTTTGATTTGGCTGCCTTGAGGTGTGACAGCTGAAAGCAATGAGAGAGATACACAGAAACCAATGGCTGCGCCCTTATGATGCTACCAGACTACTACCGATAGACAGACTTAGACAGAGACACCCCACCCACGTTGCTGCATGGCAGGCTGCACTTACATGGGATTGTTCTCAGGTAGAGATTGTCACGGATCACCTGTTGTAGCTGGTGGTCCACCGATCCCTTCTGGAACTGCAGACTGAGGTAGTGGCGAAGCTCCTTGTTTATTATTCTGCCTGTAAAAAGCAATCAATGATTTAATTTTTTTTTACAACCTCATCCATCAGCAGACCCTGTGAAAATGGAGCACCAGAAGGCACAGAAAGGACAATTTGCAGCAAGGACGGCGATAATTTTGCCTCAGTGCAAAATTACTCATCACCAGGGTCACTAGATTTATCTCACATACTGAACAAATGATTTCCATTTATAACATTAAAAGGCTTCTAAAAGCAATAAATACTTCCACGATAATGTCACTGGTTTGAACAGAAGTCAAACTGAGCTCTGCCAGGCTGTGATACAGCAAGAGAGTTGCTGTAATGAGATTTGATTACAGAGAACAGACCAGGCTTCCCTGGAGCAATAACACATTCAGATACACACTTTAGCTCCCTAAACAGCCCATAGACGTAGATAGAAAATATCATTGCGGGACGGGAGGCATGTTAGCCTGAGCACACAGCCTCAGTCACAGGACAGCATTAAGATCAGCATCAACAGAGGCTTTAACAGGAATTGGGGAAGGGATGGAACAATGGTTAGAAAGAGAGACATGAAAATAAAGAGGAAATATTACAGTATTGTCAAGGAGATGAGTTTCCAGGATGATTTAGAAGTGGCGGAACAGTTGAAATTTCAGAAGGGTTTAACAGAAGAATTCCAGGACATCCCAAGGCTTCAAATCACCCCATACTGTTTATAAAGGGTTTTCGCAATAACTTAACAAGGATACAACTGTCAACCATTTTGTCTGTGTGCTAAAGAACCAAAAGAACTACAGATGCTGGAAATCAAATAAAAACAAATTGCTGGAAAAGGTCAGTAGGTCTGGCAGCATCTGTGGAGAGAAATTAGAGTCCAGTGACCCTTCCTCAGAGTTCTGCTTGTTTTGGCTGTATGTTGGTTTGGTACACACAACAAAACTCAATGCTCCTGGCAGCACTCACCCACAGTCATTCCATGTTCTTGGTTGCCCTAGCCTGAAATATAGTCTTCTCTCTGTTGTGGCATCATCTGCTTCCCATTTCTAACTAGCTCTAAAAACTCCATCACACAGCCAGAACACAATTTCTCCAACTCCACAACTTTCTGCATTCCGCCTTCCTTTGTATACCTGTTGTGAAGGTGACCAAACCTCTTTGCTTGGAAGTTTTGTTGAAACACAACTACTGCTCCTTCTTCCACTTTTCATAACTCTGACCATTGGAACAAGTTTAGATACCTCCAATGATCATTTCCTTTGTCTAAGCATTAGTGTCTTGGTGAAACACCACAGGACATTACCCAATACCAAAAAGAATAAGTATAAACACAGTCTGAAGGGAATTTTTTCTTTGTAAACGCCATTATTCCTGTTATTTGCATACCATGTGCTACTAGTTCAGAGGAAGATAGCAGCAAGGTGGCAATTCAGTCATCCAAGTCTGTTTTAGTATTCAATTAGTTCAGAGTTCAAATGCAACCTCATTCTACATACAAAACTACTCATCTGCTACCTGGCCTACAAATTGCTGCTTGAAGCGGTGATGGTGAGTTCGGGTTGGGAATTATTGCACAGCACACCCCTGTCTCAATAGCTCAAGATTGGCCAGATTTAGAAATGTTCTTTTTCCCTGCCCCACCCCCACTGCAAGGCTCTAAGTGACTGTCCATTCCAAGATGCCCTTCAGGTGGTGGCAGCATTCTCCTTGAACTACAGAAGTCTGACAGATAAAAGTACACCAACATTGCTATTCAGTTTTTAAAAATGGCTTGTATCTGCAATGCAAGATTGAGTGACTACAGCTGCCCCCCTGCTTGGTGTGCAGTCATTGCAAGGCAGTTCACACAGTCAACAGTCCAACAGATCACGCAGGAAATGAAACACTTCACAATATCCAGTACCATGTCTCCAAAAAAAATGGTCAACGTTTGGCTCCAACTCCCCTCCTATGCTTTTGCCACTTCAAGCCTGCTGCAGGTCACAGAACTAGCAATTGGGCATTTGGAAATTGAAGCAATGCTCTGAAACAAAACCAACCAACAGAAAGCCTCTCTCAGTAACATCAAAAGAAATTGAGGATTGCCTCACCCATTCTGGCTTGATACTCCAACTCCTTTTAGGTGTGAATTTTCCCTCCAAACTTCTGGAGGGTCATAGAGCACCTTACTGGTTCCCTTTGACCCTAAGTACAAACATAAACCTTCGGAGATGCACAAGAGGTTCAGGTGATCCCATCCATTTTGACCATACTGTTGAACAGTTCTCTGCAGAGGGCCCTCTCCATCAATCTCCCTTCAGTTTCTAAAATGCGGCTATGGTCTCGCACACATTTGGGACAAACGAGAGTAAGCCTAAAGCTAAAGTCTGATTCAAAGCTGCCCAAGTCAAGCATAATCGACACAAGAGAGATCAATTCTGGAGTCTCCCTGGGTTGAATGCTCTCCAGCAATGAAAGGCACCCCAATTACATTTAACATTTTCTAATCTTGCCTCACTACAGCTCTTTGGTCACACAGCACATCAGGAAACCGTTTGAGAGGTCAGAGGTTCCCAATGACCTTGCCGTTGGCAGGCGTGCATTACTCACTGCCAGGAACCCAGTGCAATCCTTAGTGAGCTTGCAATCTTGGCCATCAGTTGCTCAGCAAGCAGCATAAACTAGGCAACATTATTGCCAGAATAGAATAGGATGCAGAAGCAAGGACATCATAGTGAGAAAGCTATTTCATTAAACTAACAATTTAAAATCATCTCCCATGAGGAACCAGCTCATCCATTCAGATGTAGCTGATAACATGATTAAATCTAGTGTAGTTAAATTTGTTTAACACTGCCTCCTGCTCAAAAATCAGCATCATAGACAAACCCTTCCCCTGTCTTGCACTCTGGCAACAAATGCCATGCAACCATGTTGCAACAAACAGCACTCCCCACTCCACCCAATGGGCAATGTCACCTGAGCAAACTAAAACTTCTAACTGCAATCTGTGCCACTAAGTCTTCACAACTTAACTTTCCCAGCCCTAGGTAGTGAATATATGTTGCACGTTCTCCCTTCTAAGGGCAATATGTTCTACTGGAGCTGCAGTGCCTTGAATTCAACGCAGTAAGGGTTTATGCAGAATGATTATGATACTAATAATCCACAGTTTAAAGTTAAAATCCCACCAAAGAGTTAGGGAAACTAGGAGACATGTCACCTTTTAACCTCCTCTGCCTGCAGCTGACCCTTAACTCAATATGGTTGACAGTTTGAGGCACTCAAACAGTCTTATCAAAACAGAAATAAAAGGCTACAACAAAGACATGATCCACATGATGGCAGTGGTTAAAAGCAGTGGCTCTCACCACCTCCATCACTAAAGCAGTGGGCGATAAATGAAGGCCTTGTCAACAATACTCTCAAGAATAAATTGTATAAAATACCAGGGTTGCCACTCTTCCTGGAGATTTATCCTCATAACACTTGTCACTGGTGTCTGCTGCTACACATTATTTTGCCTGACAAACTAAGCAACTTTTAAACTAGGAAAGCACAAAGCACCAGTAATTTCTGAATTAAAAAAAAACTGCAATATCAATTGCAAACAAAAAGTGCAACTTCAATTGATTTGTTGAATCCAAGGAAGTAACCCTGAAAATTTTAAATAATTTTCTGAATTTTAACAATGCACAGCATGTTAAAGGGAAGTAAAAGCAAAACCCAGTCCTAATTCAATTTACTGACCCATATATGTCACCCTGAAAGCCCAGCTTTAGCAAGATGAGACTGAAAACTCAAGGAGCACCATCTGAGCTGCCCAATTGCTGAAATACAGCACATCATATAATCACACACACTGCAGGCTGACATTTCCAGTTCTCAGGATCTTGCCAGTCTGTGTATTTATTCTTCCACAATGAGTTTTCATCTCACGCCACCAATTTGTGTTGGGGTCTCCATCCCTCTGAACAGTTTACGTGGCACTTCTGCATTCTGAGTTCCCAGGTAACTTCCACTGGCCTGGATGTAGTCTTCCTCGTAACAATGTTCTGAATAGCAGGATAATCAGACAATGCAAATCAATTAAAAACTAAGAGACAGGGTACTTCACATTCATGATTTGTCTGTACAAAGACAGTTACTCCGAGGTGACAATAGAAATACTCGGGATACCAAGACCATCCTCAGATTCTGGATTGGGATCCTGACTAAAATCCCAATGCAGTCTAACAAGCTTTATATAACTATCACCTGTCTTTCAGCCTTGAGGTAATGGGCAACATCCCATTAGTCTTTTAAATTACTTTGCCACCTGCTCATTAAGTTGAGGTCATTTCTATATGTGGGCCCCTAAAAATCTCTGCTCTCAGTTGCTTCCAGTTTCAAACCACATTTTCCTCTCTGATCAGATGAGATGCAAGAGAGGGTACAGACAAAAGTGGAGGATGCAGCTTCCTGCTGTATCCAGGGAGGGCGTGGCCAATTCCTCTCTGGTTCGGGAACTGGATCAGTTATAAGATCAAGACTAAACTGACACAAATGGCCTTATCTGATGAATGCTGAAGCTTTCAAAGGAATTGCTTGGTCAGTCAACCACAGATTTAGCTTCCTGATGATTTCTGAAGGTACTACACCACAGGAACTTAAGTATCAGGAAGGGGTAGATGAGTGGAGAGGGAATCAGCATTTGCTGGAAACAAATCTTAATTGAAAAACTACATGCAAGTAGTGGAAAGTGCAGCCATCAACCCATGGGCTCAATCACGTCCATGTGTTTACTTTACCTTTCAACTGGAGAAACCAGGCATTACACACTCAAACAAAGGTTGAAGAAATTATGCAGTTATGCATTATGTTTCGTTGATCACCTCCATTCTACAGTTTCAGATTCCATAGCCCAATAATGAACGCTTCTCAAGAGCCAGGATCTTGCCCAGGTTCAATTTTATACGTAAAATTAAAGAAAGACATGTCTATAAAGCCTTTTGCAATCTCATGACGGTCCATAAGCAGTCAATAAACTGTAGCCACTGCTGTCAGAGATGTAC